TCGTGTGAGCAAGCGTCCTCATTCTGTATTTTCTGATGGAAGCTTGTGGTGATATACAGTAGAGATACGGCGTGAGACGGGTGTGCGAGAGAGGACTCGTGAGCTACTCTTTCCAGCAACCCCAGCACTTTCCAGCGGCACAACTCTCCCCCTCTTTTCACCTCTATCACACCATCTGCTTATTCTTTCATCTCTCGCTCCTCTCTGCTGCCTTCCCACTCTCAACCTCTTTCATCCTCTGTCTCTTCACCTGACCCCACTCTTCAGCCCACCGATCGACAGCGCTTCACTTCCTCCTCCGTACGCGCACCGTTCCTGCTCGTCCTCCTCAGCATTTCCTTCTTCAAACGCTCAATCAAACGACCTGTGACATACTTACGAGTGTAAAATGCAGTCAACGTTGGTTGCGTTCTTGTAAATGTGCCATGTCTGCCCTGACCTGCTCCTTTCTTGCTCTCTCGGGGTCAGGAAGTGGGCAAGAGTGGGCGGAGGTGTGGGTGAGTATAGCGTAGAGGAGGTGACGGAGGGAGGAGAGAAGGAGGAGTGGAGAGTTTACCCCCCCACTTGTTATCAGTTTGTTCCTCCTTCTTGGCCACACACTGACAGAGTCAATGAGACGCGGAGAGAGTGAGACAGAGAAAGAGTGTATTCATGTGTGTGAGAGGAAGAGGACCTCACTGAACGACTGTACACATATTCATCAACATGACAAAGACCGGTCCTTTTGCATCCATGGACTACTCCCATATGTGGCTGCCAGGTATGTGTCTGGAGCATCTGGGGTGGTTGCCAGGTTGGTCTCTTGTTTTGCGTTTTATTGATGGATTCATTAGAAATGCAGGGATGTTTGAGGTCATTGGACCAAGAAGGTTAGTGTAGAGAAACTGAAAGAAAGCGCTATGCAAAGTTACAGAAAGGCTGAAATTCCAGAATATGCGTCATGCATTTCGGAGTGTCTATTTCTATAGAAATAGAGCGATTTGTTTTATGGTGCTTTGCAAGAGAATTCAGATTTCTGTGATTGTTTTTTTTTTGTTTTTGTTTTTTGTTTTTTCAAAGCACTGAAACTTAAAACATATATATTTTGTGTAAATGATTTTAACATTTTTTTTATTTAATGAGAAAATTCAATTTATTTAATAAAAAACTGAAATATTAAACATGCCCATATTCATGCTGTTCACGTAGTCAGGTGATGTTTGTACGTTGCAGTTTTCACATTTACATTTATTCAAGCATCTTACAAATGGAATATGACAAGCCATACATCTTATGATTCATCTTTTCAGATGCCACCGTATTTTTGGGTTGAAATCTGGGCCAATGTAGGACATGTTCTCAGAGTTTAAGATCATTTTCCTGCTGAAGTTCAGCACAGCAGACAGAGGGATCTTTTCTTGCAGTATTTCCTTGCGTTTTGCAGCATCTATTTTTCCTTGTACTTTGATAAGATGCCCAGTCTCTGCTGATGAAAAACAAATCCACAGCGTGACGCTTCCAACACCTTCTTCACTATGAGGATGTTGGTTTTTGAAGTGTGGCCAGTATTAAATTTGCACAACATATATACATTTTCACAAGTTTTGGCCACAATTGTTTTTACACATCTTAGGAACATATTGCTTTTTTGGCAGACCAAGTTTATTATTATTATTATTATTATTACTCATGACTGTTTTGGAGTAGTGGCTTAAATCTTGCATTCTCAGCTACTGACCTCTGTGGCTTTTCTCACTAGACTCTTGCTGCCACAGTGAGGTCTTGAAGCTTAGGGGGCATTTTTTCTAGCCAATCTCATGTTCTCATTGTAGAATTAGTAATTTAGTGAAATAACTCAAACTCGTCAATGATCTGCTTTTTTTTAACTAAGCACTTTAAATGAACTGGTGGTTTTGTGATTTCTGTTATGAAATCCTCAAAATAATTAACATTTCTCTGCATTAATTTCAAAGGCACAATCATTAATTACAGTATTTTAAAACTAGATGCCCAAAAGCTGTTTTTCTCTTCCTAAATTCAGAGAGTTCATCTAACTTTTAAGTGGTTAACAACAATGTCAATTTGTGGTATTATGTGCATAAAATCTTCAGGTTATTACACTAACATTACGTATATATGTGTTTTTGCGGTGTCATCAGGCAAATAAGCAATTTTTAGTACTCAGGAGGTAATGAAATTATATTTATTGACTGGAAGTGTATAAGCGAACCTCTGGGAAACCCAGTGTGAAGTTCTTCATGGGGTTTCCCCATTCCTCAGCTCCCAATTGCAACTTTGACCTACAGCGCAGCTGTCTGCAGCTCAACAGATGGAACACAGTACAGGAACTCTTGCCTTTAATAATGAAAATTAGTATATTGTGGAGTATAATGTTCTTTGTTAGTACAGTTTGTGTTTGCTATGAGAAGGAGTAAGAATGCTTCCTTGAGGAGTGTTTCCTTCACTTATGGTGAAGTTCCTAGCAGGTAGAAACCAGCAATAATATTCCTAAAGACAACTTGCATTATCATAACTGATTATCTGTCCTTTTGTAAAAGGGGAGAGAGGTCAGTAATCAGCAGTCAGAAGAAGTAAGTCTACTGGAACCCAGACACCCTTAGATGATGAATATGTGTTTAAATACAAACCAACTGAGCTGAGCAAATTGAGAAGTTAATTCATGCAGTGATGGATATGGTGATCTGAGATTGCCCTGATTATTGTTATACGAAAGCTCTTCATCTTTACACGTGGCATCGTGACGTAAAAATAAGTGACTGGTGACTGAGAATGAGTCGCACATGCAGGGATCCTGTATAGCTCAATAAACCCTCAATAGTAGTAGAACGTCCTAGAAAAATGTAGTAGTAGAAAAACGTATTTGCTAAACGCAAGCCACTTTTAAAAGAGGTTACATGGAACTGTCAAATAGAAAATAAAGCAGAATTAGGGATTATGAGGTTAACATAGAAATAAGAGAGGAAACAAGTATTGCTGAAGGTGTGCAGGAAGTCTCTCTCCCTCAGAAATGTGGAGTAGTTTTTTTGTCAGTTAATATTGCATTACAATAATTTAGCCTGGAAACCATTTCCAGTATGTGCAGGCGGTGTAAGCATATTTATTTCAGATTTTAAAAAAGAATGGAGATCTTTGTAATACAGAAGTTACGAAATGGAGAAGTTCGAAATATATAAGAAACAGAACTGTGCGTGTCAGCTACTGTATAAAGACTGTATATTATATAGCAGCACCTACATTTAAGCCTGCGCGCGTGTGTGTGTGTGTGTGTGTGTGTGTGTGTGTGTGTGTGCGTGTGTGTGTGAATGTCCGTATTAATAGCTGGCCCGACAGTAAGGGTTTGGTTTAACACATTGTGTTTGGCCCAGCCTGAGGGGAAACGGAGAGGGAAGTGAGACATTAACACCACAACCATCAGACACTTTTTCATTTTAACTTCATATGAATGATGAACTGCATATTCACTTCATATAAAACCTTATGTTCTAGATTCCATAATGCGAAACTGTGGTGGATGTATATCAAATGAGTTATCATAGACTGCAAGGTGTCATGATTAATCCATGATTAAAAACACTTCTTTGACATTTTTGCTTCAAATTAATGATGCCTCTCTGATAACCTCAAGTCAGTTTATTTTATTCAGATGAATTATGACACCATACTCCAAAATAGTCAGAACTTGTGTGTGACACAATCTGAAAATATTCTCAAACTTTCAGCCTGAGCTATCATAGCACCATTTTACCAGCAGGCCATTCTGTGGAAACCCTTATAGATACGGCCCATTGGCTGACGGGCCTCGAGAGGGGCTTTCCTTCCCTTTTACTTCCTTTCACCAATCACTGTCGCTGGACCCTGGATTTGATCGTCTGAGGAAGTTGGCAATTCTTCAGCTTTTTGGTGGCTTTTTCACGAGTGATTCAATTTATACAAGTGAAGTTGGTTTCCTGAGGAACTTTCTCTGGGATTACTACAGATTTTTGTTTTAAAGTTGTACTGCCCCCTGGAGGAGTCAGATATTAATTATCAGTATCTGGTAAGGCTTCAATGTTTCATGTACTTGGCAAGAATTAAATATCGATGAAAATATTTGTGAAAGAGTGAGAAATGAAGGATGAGGCATGAGTGTTGAGGGGGAGATAGATAAAGAGGATCAGACGAGATAGTGGTATATGCAGGTGGGTGATATTATTAGTCAGTCGTTGGCTTTATTTGCATTTTTCACAAAAGGGAAGTGAGTGTGTTTCTCTGTGTGTGTGTGTTTATGAATGTCTGTTTGAGAGCTTTTTTGGCTACGGAATTTATAATGCTGCTGATGTAGCTTATAACTCCTTTGTATTGTAAAACGTGCCATACAGATCAACTGAACTGGCTTGAATTTGTCGGCAACATACACACATTCAGCTGTGTTCTGACTTTTATGTAAAAATATATCTATGATTTACAGAATTCAGTTTAGACCAGAACATTATAAATCTTATTTCTAAAAAAAAATGGTATTATGATTCTTTAAAGATGTAAGATATTTCACACACACACATTTACTTTGCACACTCTGTTTCTCACCGCTGAGGGACTGGGACAGTCCCATGGGCTCGGTTACAGTTAAATTTGAAGTGACACGTCTGTGGTGACGTAACCATTATTAGTTGTTTGTTGGATTGAGCACATCTCCAGTTGTGTGAGAATGGAGGAATCTAGACCTCTGTATTTTTAGAATCAAAATGTGTGCATTTGTGTCCTTTTTATTCAAAATATAACATATTTGTGTTTGTTACACTTCCATTCATCATCATCAAAACTATTTAATAATATATTTCAAAAAATAATAATATATCTTACTGTTTAACTGTGGTATAGGATTGAACTGTTAAATCAGGGTACAGGGCTGCTAACTGTATGCAAACAGTAATTCATTTGAACAAAATATGTTAACAGAAATGCATCATCATGTAGCAAAAGCTAATGACTGACCTCATATCCCTCTCTCTTTTTCACAGATATCAGAATGTCAAAGCCAATAGAGGTTGAGAATCCAGCGGCAGCCTCTCCGATGGAGAGCACAGGTATAAAACTACATTATTTTTTTATTTTTTATAGGCCTGCAACAAGGATCAACAAAAAAGAAATTTCTGCTCAGATATTTACTTGACATAATAACATTTCCAGCATAATTTTATGTGTTAACAACATTCTAAAATTATGAAAATAATAAATCAATAATAAAGAATAAACAAAAGTAGTGCTGGGCAGCGATTAATCGCGATTAATCGCATCCGAAATAAAAGTTTTTGTGTACATAATATATGTGTGTGTACTGTTTATATTATTATGTATATATAAAGACACACACATGCATGTATATATTTAAGAACAATATGTTGTTTGTATATTATATATATATTTATATATAATATAAATATATACATGTAAATATTTTCAAAAAATATGCTGTATGTGTGTGTCTTTATATATACATAATAAATATACACAGTACACACACATATATTATGTACACAAAAACTTTTATTTTGGATGCGATTAATCATTAAGTAAATTTTTCAATAAAAATTAATATAAATAAATAGCATGTCTTTTGCTATATTAAAGCTACTTTATATTTTTTACTAACTATCTTAACTAAAACCTAACTTAAATTTTCTAAATTAACAGAAATGTTGTTAATATCCTCTTAACTATACTAACAATCTTGACTAAAACCTAACTTAAATTTACAAAATTAACAGAAATGTTGTCTTCTCGCATTGTGTTTGTCAGCCTCCGAAAGAAATGGCTCAGATTCAAATAATCAGGTAAGTGACAGCCAGGTACCAGTGTTATATTTCATCTGAAAACAGCATGATCAAAAAAATAAATCATATTTTCAATGTGTTTCCCTCCAACAGCTTCAGCCAATGAAAATCAGCCCTTTCTCTCTTTCTCCCACACTGAGCAGCAGCACCAAGGTGAGTGAATGTGTGTAAATGCATGCAGTGGTGGACAAAGTACACAAATCAAGTACTTGAGTAAAAGCATGTGACAGTTTGTGTTCTTTATTACTGTCAAGTGATTCACATACAGATCTGCACATATTCTTGTTGTTAGTTTCGAAGACCGTTTAAAAGTTAGTCTTTTACAGTTTTTACAGATTATAGTTTTTTCCACCTCATGAGCTGCTAGTATTTTATTAACCTCATTTCAATACTCCCACTCACTGTGTCCCTTTCAGTAACACATGAATTCATCATCAACGCTTCTCTGTCACTATGTCTCAGACTAAGGTGGAGGATTGTGGTGAGATGTCTCGCGCTGCTGTACAAACTCCACCTGCTCAGACGCCTCTTCCCCACACACAGCTGATGCTAACGGGTGGTCAGCTCGCAGGGGTGAGACAAACACACCAATACATGCGTACATACACTCTTTATATGTGCTGCATACTGTATGTGTGTCTGTGTGGGTTCCTACATGAGCTTGCTTGCCTTAGATGTGCTTTCTTTTCTAACTCTTATTTTCGCCACACTCCTTCTCTGCCGCTCATTCTCTCTCTAGTTGACTGCACTTTTGCCAGCACAGCAACAGCTGCTCTTACAGCAGGCGCAGCTCCTCGCTGCAGCTGTGCAGCAGTCGCATGTGGCCCACACGGCCAATCAACAGCAAGCCCAGCAGCAGGCAGCTCAGCCGCAGTCACAGGGCCAATCGCAGAGCACACAGGAACAAAACGCCGTCCCTGTCCCGCCGCCTCCTCCTCACCAGCTTCCTCTTTCTCAGCCAATCCAGCTCACTGCGCAGGTACAGCCAGTCAGCGCTGGGCAGCACACCTGAAAATTGTTGATATTGTTCCAGAATCAGTGTTTTTCCTCTTTCAGTCCTTCATCAGAGTGAAACCGTCACATCCTTTCAGCATCTGTTTCTTTTCTCTCTTTCAGGACATTCAGCAGTTGTTGCAGCTGCAGCAGTTAGTCCTCGTTCCTGGACACACTCTGCCTTCACCCGCACAGTTTCTTTTACCACAAACACAGCAAGGGCAGCAAGGTAGCTTATTTACTATTAGTATTCTCACACCGTGTCCTAAATAAGTTTCCAACATCAGATCACTAGTTTGCCAATCACAGTCAATCAGAATTAAAAATGTTGTTTAATATAAATTAAACAATTAAACATAGAGATTTGCTGTATGTCAGTTAAGAACATTTCTAATTTACACCTGTAAGAATTTATGGTAACACTTTATTTTAAGGTGTCCTTGTTACACGTTACATGTACTTAGTATTATAATAACAATAAATTATGCATACTTACATGCAAGTAACCCTAAGCCAAACCTTAATCCTAGCCCTATAGTAAGTACATGTAGTTAATTAATATTATTCAGTACTCAAATGTATAATTACATTGTAATAGGGACACCTTAAAATAAAGTGTAACCCAATTTATTGCTTATTATCACTTTATTACATTGTAATTTTTCAAGATGTAATGATTAGCTAAAAATGGTCTGATTTGATTTAATTGTAACGGTTGTGTATGTTTCAGGGCTGCTATCAACGCCAAATCTAATATCACTACCTCAGCAAAACCAAGGAAGCCTGCTGGCCGCTCCACACAGACTTAGTCTTCAAGCACAGGTACAGCATCTGATAAAAGGCCACATCTTTGGGAGTCTACTGTTCCCCAACAGGGGTAAACATATGCCAGAGGTTACTTAAACAGTATCCAAGGGAAACTTGGAAATATATTTATTTGTTAAATGTAGAAAAAAAACATACAACATAAGTGATTAATTAAATGTGTGAAATTTTCAGTTCCCTTTTTGAAAAAGGGAAACACAGTATTGTTTATGAACTTTGTAATTTTGTATGTATGACAGCTGTAGTAAGACTGGGGTGAATAAGATGTTTTAACAGTAAAGACTGATAGATTGTTACAACAGATTTTCGTTTTAAATAAATGCTGTTCTTTTGAGCTTTCTAGTCTTCAAAGAATGCTGAAAAAAGCATTACTTAAGCATAAGTAATAATAAATATTAATATTAACTGTTTTCAACATTGATTATAATAAGAAATGTTTCTTGAGCACCAAATCAACATATTAGAATGATTTCTAAATGATCATATGACATTGATGACTGGGGTAACTGAAAATTCAGCAGTTTCGTCATCACAGGAATAATTATGTTTACAATGTATTAAGATAGAAAACAGTTTCAAATTGTAATAGTATTTCACAATATTACTGTTTTTGTTGTATTTTAATCATATAAATGCAACCTCAGTGAGCATAGAATTTCTTTAAAAACAAAAAACATTTGCACAGTAGTGTGTGTACATTCTGTGCTATCATATTTCCATCTGACACTCACGTTCGAGTCTTGTATGTGTGTGTCTGGTTTGTGGCAGAGGGAGAAGGTTGCAGAGAGCAGCGTGAACACAGTGACCACTCATCCCGAAGAGCCCAGTGATCTGGAGGAACTGGAGCAATTTGCCCGCACGTTCAAACAGAGAAGGATCAAACTGGGCTTCACACAGGTACACACACATAAACACACACACACACACACTCAGAAGATTTGTATTTGCCTGTATAGTAATGTTTGGTCTCTGTTTCTCTCTACAGGGTGATGTGGGATTGGCCATGGGGAAGCTCTATGGGAACGATTTCAGTCAGACCACCATCTCTCGATTTGAGGCGCTCAATCTCAGCTTCAAGAACATGTGCAAACTTAAACCTCTGTTGGAGAAGTGGCTGACTGACGCAGGTAACCGTCACAAACAGCTGCATTAGACATTACAGCTGTCAAGCAAACCTAGTGCTTAAAGGGACAGTCCACCCAATTCTGAACATTTTAATTTTGTTCCAAACCTGTATGACTTTTTCTTCACAAAAGACATTTAGAAGAATGTTGGCAACCAAACAATTTCAATTCCTATTGACTTAAGTTGCATTTTTTGTTCATACAATGGAAGCCAACATTCTTCAACATTCATGTTCCACAGAAGAAAGAATGTCATACAGGTTTGGAACGATATGAGGGTGAATAAATTATAATTTTTTGGGTGAACTATCCCTTTAACTTCCAATCAATCTCAAAACCATGTTCATGTACATACATTAAAACTACAGTTTAAGTGGCATTCAGGCCACATCATTATTAAAAAAATAAAATGTAAAAAATGTGATATGGCAGTATATAAAACATTTTGTGCTTGATATAATAAGCATAAAATGTTTTTAATGGTTTACTTAGAAACAATGACGATGGACAGCATCTTGCCAAGTCCCAGTGCTCTTTCCTCTCCCTTGCTGGGGTTTGAGGGCCTGCCTGGCCGCCGTAGGAAGAAACGCACCAGCATTGAGACCAACATCCGCGTCGCTCTGGAACGCAGCTTCATCACGGTCAGAACACATGATCACAAATCCATTGCACAACATACATTACCGGTTAAAAGTTTGGGGTTGGATTTTATTTGTTTCCAAAAGAAGGCTGTTATGCTCACCAAGGATGCATTGGTTCGTTATAAATGCAGTATAAACAGTAATATTATTAAGTGTTATTACAATATAAAACAATAAATTTTTATTTTAATATTTTCTAAAATGTAATTTATTCATGTGATAGTAAAGATGAACTTTTATTGGCCATTGCTCCAGTGATCAGTGTCACATGATTCTTCAGAAATCAATATGTTGATTTGGTGCTCAAGAAACATTTCTTATCACAGTTTAAATAGTTGTGCTGCTTAATAGTTTTGTAGAAACTGTGAAGCATTTTTTCAGGATTCTTTGATAGAAAGTTAAAAATAACAGCATTTATTTGAAATACAAATCTTTTGTTACTGTCACTTTTTGACCCTTTTTTTCAGTTTAATGCATCCTTGCTGAATAAAGTATTCATTTCTGTTAAGTTCTGACCCCAAACTTTGAAGTGGTAGAAGATAACTAAACGCTTCCGAAATGAATGTCCTTAAATAATCCTAAACCACAGTTCTGTTTTCTGCATTCAGAACCAGAAGCCTGCCTCAGAGGAGATCCTGCTCATCGCTGAAAAGCTCAACATGGAGAAGGAGGTGATCCGCGTCTGGTTCTGCAACCGCCGACAGAAAGAGAAACGTATTAACCCCTCCAGTGCCACCCCTCCCTTGCCCAGCCAACCCCAGCCCACCTTGCACAAACCCCTCTGCTACAGCCCGCACATGGTACGACCCGGCTTGCTCCCTTGGCCCATACCCCCGTCTCCAACCACCCTGTGCCACAACACTACTAGTTTCTCCTGCATGAGCAGATGATAATAATCATTCCCATAATGGTGCATATATCATTCACTCCTGAATGTGGTTTCACCCACCCTGCATTGCTTTGCATTTGAATGTGTAATAATTCATATCTTCATAGCCAATATTTACAACTAGTTCACTGTCATTGACTACGTTTACATGGACATCAGTAATCTAATTATTTACCTTATTCTAAATAAGCCAATATT